GAATCTTATCAGAATAACCAGCTGATCCCATTTGGGTGATATGCTCTCGTTTCTATTCAGCTAGGGTGACCTGTAGTCGCTATTCCACTCGTGGTTTGCTTGACATTCTGATGCGGGTAACAGACATTCACTAATGAGGAGGGAACCGGGCCGGAAAGTTGTGCAGATCCAGTTGTTTAGATATTTCCGGACGGCAGAACTTGGTCTCAGAGATCACTTCTAGCCGTATTTTGTCCAAATTTGCGCTTGGCCGATTATGAACACGCTCCTCGGGGTTGGTGATTGCCTGGGCCACTTAGAACAATTTATTAGTAGGCGTAACGTGGTTTCGAAAACCTATAGAACTCAACCACTGAGGTCCATTTAGCTAACTTTTGTGTCTGTATAATATGTATGTTAAGTTTGTGTAATCTATCTCGCTTCTGTTCGAACTACCCAACACGTGTAGGCTGTCCAACTGGAAGAAGAAACGGCTCTATTGAGCAAACATGTGGATAACCTGGTCCATGCAGAAATTCGAACCAAAACCCAGTTGCAATCCTGCTCCGAACAATTGACTTTGGAAGAGCAACTTCTGAAACGATTCCATCGAGAGCTAGCCACTGCACTGAGTGAGGTGAGCGGTCGGTTTTCCAATGTGACTGTGTTACGCATGAGTAATGTTAGCCGTTTTTTCGATTGGTGGTTTCAATGTCACCAGTATTTGTACTGGTTCAGGTTTATGATTATTGCATAAGGTCATTGAATTACCATAGACATGCATTCTATATAGTCTTATGTTGAAATCGGTATTACTGTGACATATGTTCACAAGCGACCGCTGTTCTCATCCCCTAGTGCTGTGTTGCCATAGATAAATTGACTCCTGAGAATGAGAGATGCTGCAAACAGTCATTGTTTGATTTACTTTGATACATGTTGAAATGTTAGACCACGGTTCATAAAGTCCGTCTGGAAGTATCAGTTGTAAATGCTCCGAAAATGTGGATGGGGCTAAGAGGATTCTAAGTAATGCATACTAGCCATCAGTATGATCGGAAACGGGGTCTGACGGAACACAGTGAAGCGAATTTCGCTGCTCGGTGCCGAGTTCATAATCCATATCTGAGGAGTGAAATACACTCTCTCCAACTATGCTTACACATCCAACATTCTGGTCTAGTAAGTAAACGAAAACAAGATCACCCATGCTGTCCATTCTTAGTCATATCATTTGGTGTATGTTTCTCCTCGTGGTTCCTCGTTTTTTTTTTCATGCCAACCATTCAGACTAAACCCGTAACTACGGTGTTTCATTGTTGCACACTAAGTTAACTAATTATCCCTTTCCGGTGAGCACAGATATCGCTGCCGTGTGGTACTTCTTCCGATCTGGTTTCCTCGGGCACCGAGCACATTACGGAAACCAGTGTGCAATCGTTTCTCACACAATTGGAACAATTTAAACGAGAACAAAAGTATCCGGACATTGTGAACAGAGCGCAAGAACTACTCGAGAATGCGATATCCAAAAAAGTGTTGAAACTGGTAACAATATGAAGATGTCTGTTTTGTATCCAATCCATTCGTTGTATATACAACTTTCGTATTTTTTATCTGAGGTCTTCGTCTTATTACTGTTAAATCTACCCCCCCCTCTAACACGGCTAATGAAAGCGGAACTTTGTTTCCAGAATACCAACATCGATTGTCTCGTAGATCACCTTTGTCATTTAAGTGCTGTGGTCCTGGTGTGTTATCATCTGGCTGTTTAAATGATACATGAGAAACTGATCACGCACAAGTCATTTCACTGATGCGAAAAATTCAGTCGGTCTAAACAGCGCATGATACAGACCGAATCCTGCTATTATTGATCGAAACGCGCATCGCATTGCTGTTGAATCCGATGGGAGAATTTAGATCTACAACTAGTTTGTTCCGTACTGTGCAAAGAAGAGCACATTAAGCGATCAATAAACGTGATTCAAGATACAGTTGATAGGGCATGCAGAATTGGATTGCGCTGACAGCAAGCGGTCTATCATGATTCCCGGAGAAAACGGTAATATATTTATTATTATACGATTATAGCTCTCGCAATAAACCCAGCGCATTATAGAACATGCGAGTTCACTGAAACAGTAGATATGCTTAAGATGATGCTCGGGTCATCAACAGTGTTCACCTAACCAGACATATGGAAGTGCATTGGATACCTGATAGGCGTTGCATCCTTGTGCTGCTACTCTTGTGTGTCTTGGGGAAACATTCCGCATCTTTGTTTTCGTTCATTCACCCAACTGTCTTGTGGCCCCAATCAGTTTAGGCATACATCAGAACCCCGGTGAATTGTTCGACATGGGCTAAACTAGGTCGAGCGTAACCGAAACCTAAATATCTTGGTAAGAGATGATATATGAAGACGGTCAGTACTTGGTGAGCAGGTGGCACGTATTACTTGGTCCAAAGTCTATTAGCCAAATCCATCGAACTAACCGGAATGCATGAATGGAATGGCGAATGAGATTCGAGGTGCACGCATCAACACAGATCCACCTACCAGTTTGAAGTTCTGATGACGTTTGAGATGTCTCTGTAAAGAAAGGCCATGAAGCTGGGGCAAATTTTGAACCCAACTGTAATGAAACTTTTCGATCCTCGCAAAACCTGTTCACCCTATCCAGAGAGTCGGACAAAGCAAATAAGTGACAGATAAGTGAAGGTAAGCCGGATGGTGAAAAGATCAGTAGGTCAGTTGGGAACGGAGGTTACACATGGATACTGTCTTTACTTTTGTACAGCGCACTCTATAAAAGCTGAGCTACGATATCACTTGAATTAGCAGAACTGTATGCTACCGAGCGCGTTTACAAGTTGTGGACTGGGAAACGACCGTCAGTTAACGAATAAGCGCTACCCAGGCTCACTGCATGA